TGATTTTCTTCCCTCTCAAAAAACAAAAACCAACTGCTCTTTCAGCAGGTCAAAAGTTTGATTTAAAAAAATTCGAAGAGAGTCTTTCGACTTACATACCAAATATTCGGGGTTACTGAAGCAAAATTCCAACTTGCACTCGGGCAAAACACCTGCCAACAAACATGTAACACTCAACTTGAACACCCATGAGGGCACTGTTTTTTTCTTTGCTTTGTTCCCGTTGCTGGAAAAAAGGTGAGGGACTGCTGATCGCACGATTCAGCGGGAATCAATTCGAACTGGCAGGTGCTCAGGTATACAAACATAAGGGCACATGTTTTGATGATCATCTTAACGCATGAACAAATCAATCTCCCTGAGGATCGATTGAACATGGTTGAAATCACTAAGATATAGGTCCCAAAAGTAATTTTTTTTATTCATTAGAAACAAAATAAATTTGGTATGAAGTCAAAAAATGTGAATTGGAAGGCTTCAAAGAACAATCTCGTGTTCTAACTAAAATCGCAGCTGAAATAAAGCATTTTGGCAGTTCTGCTCTAGAAAATATAAATAATTTTACTGATCAAATGAGTACTGGAAATAACATATGAGTCAATCAAGCAATGCTGAGATGCATGTTGCTGAAAAAAAAAGGTAAAGGGGTGTTAATTGTTTGTGGATCTTTGGGCAAAAGTCAAGTGTATGGCCTGTTACATGCAAACAGCACTGAACAGGTTGTTGCTGGTGATAATGCAAACAAAAGAGCAGATTTAAAGCACAATGGAAACGAATAAGACAGACAATCAGCTGTTTTATTTTCGCCAGGAACATATATTCAAGGGGAAACCTTGAATAAATGTTTCCTGATTTCATCATGTTGCATATGATTTATCAATATTTGTATGAAAGCAACATTCCAAGAGATATCACAATTGACAACAGTGAAGCAATGATTTCAATACTGTAAATAAATGGCTGAAAGAGCTGTCTGTAAACATGCAATAAACTTTGTCCAGAAAATATTTTCAAACCTTGAAGTACTGTATATACTACCGCTCATCCAATTTTGTATTAATAATGTTTTCCATGAAGATGAAATGGCACTGGAGTGAAATTCAGTAAACCATGAGAAATTCAAAGCTATGAAAAACCTTTCTGCCTCATCAGCAGTCATCAGAAAAGTATATTTACTCAAAAAATTGAAAACTAGAAAAAATGGGTGCCTCAAGCAAAATACCTTGTCTTTCTTTTCAATACAGCATAAATACAGTTACCCTCAACTTGACAAAAGTTTTTACACTGGGACCCCGAGATGAAAATGTAATGGGTGCATCAAGAGTGTCCTGATGCCAGAATGTCCCTAAGGTCAATCTCATTTTCCCTTAGACTTCAATGCTAATGCATTTAATTGGTTCCCCTTTGTGTCATAAATTAGAAATAAGTCATCCACAAAAAAAAATGTTCATCAAAATGTTTTCCCTCAGCTTCAAGTTGTAGAAAGCAAAAGTGCAGAACAAAACCACAAAGAATCTGAACTTTTGGTATCAAAAGAAAATCAAAAAGCAAAGAAAAAGAATAAGTCTTTCTAGAATATGCTCAGAGGATAGAAGAATCTCTGAAAAAAGAAGCAAAAAATCAGCTTGCTTTTGATTATGAATTAGAGTGAATATATCTTTAAATATGTGTAAAATGTTTGTGAATAAAAATAGCTTGATTTATTGAAGAGATATGAAAATAAATGATAAAATTATTAGATTTTTCGGGAAAATTTTAGAGAAGTGCCCCTAACTCAAGCCAATGTCCACATGTTGGGCCTACTTTTTTTGTTATCCAAGTGTACGTCCCTATAAGTCGAATTATCTGTATGTTGAGGGGTGTCCGCATATTGGGGTCTCACAACTGTATTTATAAATACACATTCAGCAGCTCATCTGTGGTATGGGAGTGATTGAAAAAACAAACAAACAAGCAAAAATAAACTATAGTGCCTTCTTGTACCTGCAACTCGACCATCAAAGCTTATCCTGCGTGTCCCCAGCAAATATTCACCATCAGAATAAGGTATATACATACTGTACATGAGCAGGTTTCCAGAGAGACGGAGAACAGGAAATTTGCTTGGCAGGTGTCCACTACTCCACAGTACATAGCCCGCCTTTCGTAATAATTCCTTCTTCACTGTGCAACTGATCCAGGCTCTCTCTCTCCCTCTTTCTCTCTGTACAGTATAAGAACCTTCCCCCACCCCCGTTTTGGATATTATAAACCCAGGTGGTCACATGCCTGCTGAATTCATTGCACTTGATGCAGGCAGTCTGGAAAGTTTATTTACCTATTGTGAGCCATCTGAGCTAGGAAAAAAAAAATTAGTGAGTAGCAGTAAAGTCCTTATAGCAGAAATGGCTTCGAATTACTGCCTGTCATCATCATGTAAAATTTGGATTATCCGACAAATTGACTTCGTTATTTGGTCTGATGCGACTGTCATCACGGAATCCTCATTATAGGAGTGATTATATGCAAGCATGTACTGCATACAGTATTGAATCTCTTATTTACAACAAAGCGTCTGCTGGGACCAAAAAAAAAAGCTCCGTTATAATAAACGAAATTTCGTCCAAACAAAAATTGGAATATAGTTAAATGAAGCGCACACGTACTTTGAACTTGATTTATCTGGTTTGATTCGCGAAGAAATGCCGAACTCGCGACGGTTGCTTTAAAGCGTGTGTAAGATTTTTTGGGCGATCTATTTTTTTTTTTTTTGCAATTCGAGTTGTTCAAAATTTTTGTAGAAGCATATTCAATAGCTTTAAAGTCTGTAAATTGTCCAACATCTGGATTGGAGTATTCTAAGATGACCGATTTTAAAGTGCGGCGCATTTCTGATGGTGAAATTAGAATTTAGCCTCTTGGACTTTTTTTTTTAAATTTCTAGTGGTCTTATAGTAAGTGCTACGAGTTATTGTATCAATAATATAGAGGAAAATGAATCCTCAGGAAAACCACGTGCCAAAAATGAAGCAGTGTTTCTTTTGACAGAAATGGCTGCGGTTGTGCTATTCTATGTGAAGTTTATACAGTTGAACCTCTCTAAGTCGAGTTTTTAGGGACCAGGAGAAAATTCGACTTGGGGAAATTTTGGCCTATATAGGGAGGTTTTGATCTTAGGAGGTTTTGAGTCAGGTAAAAAATCATTTTTTGCTGCAAGGATAATTAAAAAAATGCAGAAAATTGTACATGTGGATATTCTGGGCCTAAACTTGCTTCCTAATGAATTTACAGCTTGTTGAACTTGGATGCAGGGGTTCATTTGCTCAAGTAGCCTTTTGCTTCCTTTCAAGATGCATGAAATCATTTGTTTCATTGATTTTCTCTTTTATGTTTCAAGGAAGTAATAACCAGATGGCCTCAGAAAATTTGACTTACAGAGGTTCTAGAGAAAAATAACTTGAGTTACATGGGTTTTAGAGAACAAGACTTTGAGTTACAGAGGTTTTAAAGAAAAAAACTTTGATTTACAGAGGCTTTTAATGCATTGTTTCTAATGGAATTCAGATAGGGACTAGAAACAAATTTGAGCTAGGGAGGTACTTGATTGACTTTAGGAGGTTCAACTCACAGACATTCAACTGTACTCAAATTTCCACTGTGGTGATATAAATTTCTCAATGCCAAATAATATGGAAAATAATCAATTGAGCCAAAATAACAAATATCAATCTTTTTGGATTCTTTGAAAGCATCTCTATATATAGTTTATGACTGGACATGTTTTGTCACTGAAAAGAAAGAAACCGCAGAATAGTATTTGTCCAGGAAAACTGTAAGTCAAATTCCCAGGACAAAGTAGTAAACGTGTCAGAGGAAATTGGGAGAATCAGAAAAGCAAAAGAAAATGAAACAAAATCACCAATCAGCTGGGTTCCCAATGTGAACTTGTTCATTAAGGGCTAATGTTTAGCTGTTAAACTGTAGTTCAATTTTTGAACAAATAAAATGTCAAAATGAGATCTCACAGCAAATAAAACAGAACAACTTTCAAGTCAGAAGTTTGCAAACAGTGAACACAAAGCCAACAATTTGTATTTCCCTACACAACTGCTTGATTTGAGATTTGGAATTGGAGTGAGCTTTTCTCATCAGATTTTATTCTGATGAAACATTTTTTTGTGACTCTTTTTCTCAGGGGCTTGGTTTTTGATTCATTGACCAAACTACAGTGAAACCCTGATAAGAAGCCACCATTTGCCCAGAGCAATTTTGGCAGGTTAAAGGGGTTGGCAGTTTATTGCATATTTAATTTTAAATTATTTGATCAAAATATTTGATTTTTCTCCAAAAGTCATGAAGATACAGGTTTTGTATAGAAACTTCAGTAATTTTCCAAAGAGCATTGGTGTGATCAACGGGTAAATTTTGCAGCATCAATTTATCCAAATTTTAAGATTACTCAATATATTGTTCAACATTTTCAACAAAATGATCAGTATTATTTTTTCATTCTTATACAAATACAAGATCTGTGGCAGAAATCATAATTCCACCTCAATGTTGGCATTGTAACGAAGACAAAAGTAATAGGAAAGAGCACTTTTATTTCATCACTAATGCTGGCGTATGGTGGTTGGTGTCATATTGAGGTTTTCTGTAGAATTTAACATGGAGGAAATTTGTTTCATTCAAAATTTTGGCAGTTGCCAAAGGTGGCGTCTTAGGAGAGTTTGACAGTATTTTTTTTCAATGATTGTTTTGTGCAAGACTATCCAGTCTGCATTCTCTGCAATGGTTGTCTGGATTATTTTCCTCTTGTTTGGTGGTCCCCCTTTTGTCCTTGACTTCTCTATAATTTCTAACCAACTTTTCCTTTCTTCAACGATTTTTTATTTTTGTTTGATATGAAATTTTTATCATGTAGAGTTTTCTGAGACAGTATTGCCGGAGTCTAAAAAACTATAAAAAATCCCACGTTTTATTATAATTTGCTGTTTTTTACATGACTGAAACATGATGCATTTTATTCTTATTCCAGCAGTTGATCGCCAGTAATTGAAAAATAATAATAATAATAATGACCAGAGATGAGTGCTACCACAAAGAATAGAGGAACAATTTTCTGGTCATTCCTCTGATTCTGAGAAAAATACTGCTGAAGAATACGACTGCTGTTGCTGCTGCTAAACATCATTGTGACCGGGATGATGAACACCACTGCGCCGCCCTCAGAGCTGCCACTTCGCGAGTGGTCGTCCCCTGCAGCCGCTGGCAACAAGAACAAGCATGGCAGCCATCAGCACCACACCAACACCAACAGCAACAACAAGGGGCGGCCAGTGTACAAGCACGTGCCACACCGGGAGAAGCCGCCGCATTTGGTCGCCCGTCGCAACGCCCGCGAGCGGAAACGGGTCCAGGCCGTCAACCTGGCCTTCATCCATCTCCGCCGGGCCCTGCCCATTGAGTCCAGGTACTGCAATGTGTACCTAATATATACAGTTGACCCCTGCGTGATGGACTCGATTTGAGCAACAGACTGTAGTTGAGTGATCCCCAACGCGTGATGGTCTGCTGACAGGCTGCAGAAGTTTACACTTATTCTAAAAGCAGCAAACAACTCTGTGATCATTATCTGAAACTTTGGAAAGACAGGCAGTTGAAAGCATTTGATGAAACATGGAAGTTGGCTTTTATCCCTTTCACAGTACTTCAGACACATTTTCACCTGCTGAAAGAAATTATTTCAATTATAACCTTTCCAAGTTTTTGATGACATTCAGCTATACTAGCCTGTTTCATTTGTGCTTGACTTAATTTTTTGCAAAAAAGCAGAAACTTTTATATACCTGCCATGAAGTCAGTCAAGCAATGTTTGAGACTGATATCTTTGCTATTAAATTACCACAGGACCAAAGATGCAAAAAGTGAGCAAGCAGTTAAGCAGCTTGCTAGCTCATTTAAATTTGAAATTACTATACTTGAACTTTAGCAAAGGAATGGGACAGCACTTGGTTGAAGCTGAATATAGACTGATGATTTATTGACACAATCCACACACCTTATATACCCCACACAATAGGCATGAAAACATACAGGCACTTTCCACAAAAAACAAGTCCTGAAAACCAGGAAATTTTCCAAGGTAAAATTTTGGACATTGCATAATTCACGATGCAAAATACTGAAGCGTGTATCTCATTCAATTCTTAAGATACAAAATTTTAAAATGTCTTTAAAAAGTTATATCTCGACGTTTGCTACACTTTTTGTTCCTAGTAAAATATTTCTAAATGTCTTACTTTTTAAGATCTTTGCATTTCCGCAAAATACCTTTTTTGCCTAAGCGCTTTGCTGATAAGAATTGGCGCGCATTTCCTCCCTGATAAAATCGCCCATGGTCAGGAGCAGAGACAAAAAACAAAATCATCCCACTTGGGGCATTCACAAAGTAAAATGCACAATTGGTGCAATATTTGCAGCTGCTAAAATTACATTAAGTTCATGCTGCAAAATAAAACATCTTTCTTGTCTTCAAAAAAATAAAATCTCTGGTTTAAAATAAAACACAGAGACAAGCTGAAAACATTAAATTTCAACCAATACCCTAGAATCAGTCAGCAGAACTTTTACTTGATTTGGTATTTACGTAACAAATGTTTATTCCAGTCTTTAAAAGGCTTTTGTAACTTTGCTGCTCCAAGGAAAATTTTTTGGGAATTTGCCAGTCTGCCAAAAATTTTGTGGAGATTTGTGGGTCTGCAAGCACAAAAAGGTTGGGAACACTGGACTAATCTGTTATGCAAATTATATTTTCCTATATGTTTAGTTGTTTACACATGTGCAAAACAAGCAAGGTTACAACCAAAAGAACTAAAAAATACAAAACTCACATTCATAGCCATATTAATAAAAATGTTTATTCAAATTAAGTTGGAAAGCAAGGGGGAACCTCAGAGAAACTCTTGTCAACTGATGGTATGCACTTCTACAGACTGAAGTCTGTTATGCAGATTTGTCAATTGTGCCAGAGGAAAAACTGCCTCCAGAGATGGTTGGTTCTGCAAAAATATGTTGTGCAGGGGTCAACTGTATTATAGGTATACAGTGGTATAAAACTCCCCTGATGAACAATAACTTAATGCTATTTGCTTCAGCAGTGCATTTTTTTATGCGAGGTGTTTTTTATATGTTGACATACAAAAATATGCATAAAAGGGGGACTACCAAAATACATGTTATTGGAAAGATGATTTATTTCAAGTTTGTAAAACTTGAAGTTTGTAGAAAAGCAGTTGCTTGATTGAATTATAAAATTTTAAACTGCTGGGCCGCAGCCAGAATGGGTGACACCCTAGTGCAAGGTTGGTTCTCTATGAATCAGGTCAAAAGCTCCCTATTTGAAGATTTTGATCCACAGTTTGATTTCACACAAAAAGTGTGACAAGGTTCTCAGGGTTCTCAGGAAGTCTTACTTGAACAACTGCCAAAATTGGAATGCTACACAAGAAATGGTCATTTGGAACAGGATGAATCAGAGATGAACATTTTGACAGGATTTTTGTCATTGTGAACTTGCAAAGATTTCCAGAATGAGTCATTGTAGGACAAGAGGGATTCAGGGACAATTAAAATCCATGGGAACTCCAGGTCAAACTCAGTCCCACAATGACAAAACTCCTTGAGAATTTCAGCCTAAGATTTGCAAAAGTGGTCTTTTTACACTATTCCATTTAAAATTCCCAACAATATGGACACTCTAAATAATAACTTAGGGAATCTTGGCATTAAAGAAATATCTAACCCAGCATCCAGGCAATGTGTTGAGATACAGACAATAGTCCAGCATTTCTAAAGATGTTACCATTATACATTTTGATATCTCTTGAAGAAATTGACAAATTTATGTTCAAAAAATACAATAAAATTAATTTATAAAGTACCCTAATTTATCCATAATCCAAAACAGGCTGAATTTTGCTTCTTTTTTCGCAGAGTAGTTTTTCTCATGTGTGCACATCATGTCTAGGCTTACTGATCTTTTTCTTTGCTTATATGTTCTTGGTTTCAGCTGATTTTGGCCAATAATGGTCAGAGCAATGAACAACTCTTGCAGCATAAGCTTGAGGTTTTCCAGATTAGTTATTCTCAGAAATACCAAATTTCTCCCGTATTAAACGATTTGTTTTATTGTACTGAAAGTGTGAAGCAGAGTACCTCAGTTCAGACTCCAACACAGTTTCAAAGTCTTAGAATTCTGAAAAATTGTCATTGCTCAAAATTTGTATCTCTTCATAAGTAGTCTTTCTTCACAGACTTTTTCGTTCTTTTTTTAAACTAAAATGTAATTCGATACATGCTGTGGGATCTTCGTCACCAGACTGCAGAGAGCAACTTGTTTTTCCAACGTTGAGAGTCCACCTTGGGAAATTTCCTAACGTTTTATTCTGCCGAAAAATAACCGAAAACCCTTCTTCACGACTCATCACCTGTTCCGAAATATTTTATTCTGTCTGGGATTGAACTAAATTCGCATAGGACTTGAAAAATCGATTAGAAACTTTAAAAATTGTCAAGCAAATTTGGGAAGATCAAAAGTCAAACTTGAATCAACTTGAAAAATCTAAAACTGAGAGATCAACAACAGTGAAAATTTTGAAGTACTGCATGAATTTAATACCTGTAGAGGAGCAATTTATAGAATTAGGATACGATCCTCATCAGGATTATACCTATTCAGTCTTTTAAAAAATTTTTTCGTTCTTTTTGTTAGTAACTTTAGTATCTGTAATGTGTCATCTTTAGGTTTTTTCTTTCAAAGAATTATACACAAATGAATCAACCTGTTTATAAGTTCTGGAAACTGTTATATATGGAATCAATATAAACAACAATCAATGCAAATAGCATATACAGTATTGATAAAAGGGAAGTAGATCAAACTTTCATTCCTAATAAGAAGATAAAAAAAATTTCACAAAACTGGCAGCAGTTATATATAACCTACCCCTTCAAAAAAATTCAGGACTTTGTATAACCGGAATTGGAAAGAGAAATATTCCTACAATATCTGGTCCAATATACCATCCTATTTCTAATTGCTGGATATTCGTCTGAACCAATTCTTCAGGGCTGGTAAAATTCTGATAACTTGATTATTGTAAAGTCATCAACCTCTATCTAACAGACTTAATTTGTGCAATGCACACGTCTGTTGGACAAAAAGTCCTTTAGACAAATTCAATCATATAAAAATTAAAACTTGTAATTTTCAACACTAATTTTAAACCAACAGAAGCATGTTTGGCAGATTTTGTCTATTGGGCAGGAGGAAAAACTGCCTACAGAGCTCATGGTCTGTGAGGCAAAAATCCCTCACACTATAGAGATCTGTTAGGCAGGGGGCCACTGTAATTGTATTTACCTCTTATTCTGGACTACCTATAGAGGAAAACGGGTCAGCAAGGTGAAAACCCTAAAGACAGCCATGGACTACATTGCGCACTTGGTGACCATCCTTTCTTCAAGTTTGGACCTCCCTTTCATGCCCTACCAACAACATCATCGACAGCAGCAACACCAACACCATCAACTGCAGTGCAGCGCCATCTGTCTCAACTCACCCCTCAACCACCATGCACATGAGTTTCATGAGAAGGAGAACACTGCCTCATGCCTACACCACTACCAGGTGATTCTACTGCTGGTTGTGAAATACAGCTTTTCTCATTCAAATATTCATATATATATCCTTTAGACTTGTGAAAATATGGAAAATGACAAGCATACAGACTATATGATCATAATTTGTTGTAAATTAATGCATAGTTCTTTAGGGGGTTGGTTTATAGTTTATATGGATGGTGTATTCTAGATTATATTTGAAGGAGGTGGTTCAAAGTTAATGTTATTGTGGGTTGCAGAAAATTGTCTCGAGTTGTGCACCAGGAGAATTTTAAGCATCCCTTTGACAATGCATTAGTTTTAAACATTGTAAAACAAAATATAACAGCATAGAATCAATTATATTTGCTGTAGAGTGAAAGACTGAGACCATTATTGATCTAAATTGCATGACAAATCCTTTAAATTTGTTTCTGCTCTTTTTACATTTTCTTAGCCAAAATCTCTGAAAGGCTTTCAGGTGGCTTGATTTTTTGTCAGTTTTGTTTTTCTGAAGAATGTGTTCTATATTAGTGGGAATATTTGAAAAAGGTGAGGTTTTTGAAGCCCGAAATGAAGGTTTTGATGATCTGAACACTTGTTTATACAGTACCTTAATTAGGAAAATTTTTGGTTATTCCTCAAGAACACTTGGTGTAAACTTGAGGCAAAATATTAGAAAACACAAACATACAATTTGAAAATATTTTAAAACCATTTTGACTGTCCTTCAAGCAATATTGCACTGGATTAATCTTGGCTTTCTCTGCAGATTGCAATCAATTAAAAATGTAATCTAAAAGGATGATATTCAAGTGTTTTATGAGTGATTAATTTGTCTTCCTCCAGGATGCTCTCAACAACAACAACAGCAGCAACATGAGCATCTATACCACTTTTCAAGAGGATCCCAGCTACTGCAACTACTTGGAGTCCAGCATCAACTTCTGAAGTTCATCTTGGGAAATTGCTGAAATTCTTACGTACTGTACTTGAATAAATTACCTATGAAAGTGATGGCACCTGAAGACAAATACAATTGGATTGCAATCTTTTTTACACTGTCCCATTGAAGAAACCCCCAAATTCATAAGGGATGCCCATGAATCTTATTTTTTGGCCAATTTAAGTTGTTGGATTTTTTTTGAGCACATCATATATAATAATGAGCTACTTGGTTAAACAAAGCTCTTCACAGAGTGAACAACAGTGATTGTCTAATTCCAACCCTTTGTGGATTCCTTTTTCAGTTTGGAACATTCCTGGATTATTCCAAAAATGGCGCCATCTTGCTAAAGAAAATTGAGTATTCAGTGATTTCAATCATTCGGATATCAAATGCTCAAATGTGAGAGAAGCTCAATTTGTATCCTGAATGGTTAACATTTCTTCATATTATACCAATTTGCTTTCCAAAAACTGATGAATCAATTAATGCGCTTGTGGGCTAAAGATAATCTCTGCATATTGCAAATTTGTTAATAATAAAAGGAAACATAATTCAAAGCATCAGAGAGAAATCTGTCATCATTTGATGTACAGTATTGCAATACCAATTTTTGTAGGATTTCCAAATACCTGTAAATTCATCCTGTGCATTGAAAAATTTATTTTGAGCAATTTTCTTATATGTATTTTTTTCTTACATTGATTGCTCAAAATTTAAACACAATTAAAATTTCTAATGCAATTAAAAACCCTGCTCACCAATGTCTCTGAGTTCTGAGTTGAGTTTAGGATTCTCTCTCTGTGATATGGAACTCAACGAAATTCTTTCTAAAACAAAATTTGTCCTGTCCCCTTGAATTCAGTTCAAACAAATTTTCTTTGTAAACAATTTTTTTATCGTCCCAAACGCTTCTTTGAAACAAGATTATACTGTAACTGAAATGGAAAAGGAAAATAAATGTAGAAGCAATCTGACTGCTTGAATTTGTTCCTCAAATTTGTCCAAAACGAGATTCAAGTGACCAAAGGAATTTGTTGTAGACAGAATTTTGTTGCATAATTGAATTGCATTCAAATTGATTTTTTTGCAAATTTTATCCGTAAAAAAAGAGAGAAAATATGCCCATAATTTCTCGTTTTCCTTGATTTTTTTTCTGTTCATAATGTCAATAAATCATCACTTCGTGCCACGGAAAAAAGAGCAAAAAGTAAAGCAATCATTGCATTGTTCCAAGGATATCATTAGATTTTAAGACATTTAACTGAGCCTCACATCCCCATGCTCATATAAAATCAGTATAATTGTGAAGAACCTATTTTTAAATTGGCATTACTGAAAATATTTTTTGCACGATGCCCTTTTGCATTGAAAACATAAAAAATTGGAAGCGTTCTTGGAAAAATTGCTGATTTCTTCATGATGGTACTTTCTGTAAAACTAACTCAAATGCAAAGAAAATCTTGAGGAACTGATGTGATCTTCCACTAGAAATCATATGTTTGAAAATGTAATACATTCTGCCTTGATATACATTATAAAATATAAATTTTTAAAAACTACTGTACTTCTGAGCTTCAAATTATCTATTTTGGCCTTTTCTCTTATCAAACACCCTGACTGGCCTAAAAGTTCTGTAAACAAGCTTTTTTTTACAATTTAAACCCTAAACTGCACCTCTTTCTCACACACAACTATTGATTCAATGCCACCCTAAAAAATCTGCCAGGACAAAGGATGGCACTAAATCAGGGTTCGACTGTACTGCGCATAGGTGTTGGAAGCTATATAGTTTATTTCGCATCATCAGCCAACAAAGTTGCAATTGGCAGGTGCTCCGACGAGGTCAGCAGCAGTTTGAGCCCGGAACCCGCCATTGGCGGCGATTTGTTGCCGGAAGTGCCGCAGGATTTGTCCAGTTTCCGCCTTGTAGCGTCGGTTGAATTCCCGGGCAATGAATGCGATCTTCACTTGATCCGTGGGATTGCAGAAGGAACAACGACCCCGACCCAATGCAGCAGGCAAAGCAGCTGTGTCGTGATGAATTGATTTCATAAAAGGAAAAAAAAACATATCCATTGAATGTTGGTTACTGAAGAGAACATACTGGAGAAATTGTAGGCACCTGATTTGAAATTTTGGCAAAAATGAATGTGCACAGTGAGACCCTGAAACGTGGACACCCCTTATCCCAATAAACAAATGGACAATTGGCTTGGGGACATTTGATACTTCAAAAAATAGTTCCCAGCATCCAAACAGTATCTTGACAGATGCAGACAGTTTTTCAGAATTTCTATAAAATTGGCAAATTTTAATTTTTCAAACCTTGAATGCCTCTCAAACAAGATGAACTATTTATATTCAAAGAAGTTAAAACTGAATATCATCATATATTTACTGTAATCGAAATTTATGATCAGAAAAAGGTTAATTTGGGCTTATTTTTTAGCATTCTCTATATAACCTGTACACAGTGTATGGTAAGACTTAATTTTTGCTTGTATTTTGAGTCCATTTTGAACTAGAGGATCACATTCTGTGTGGGTTTCTTTATTCTGGATAGCTGTCTTTATTCTGTATCTGTAAGTTATTGAGAAACAGATTTCATTTGTTTTTTTGGGGATTTTTTCCAAATTTTCCATGAACTGGAGAACCCATTAAATGAGTTACCCATGAAGTCTATGGGAAAATGAGGTCCAACATGCAGACATTCTGACACAGGGACACTGTTAAAGCACCAATTATGTCTGCATCTCTTGGTTTCACTGCATTTGCTGTGCTTCCGTTTTCATATTCAATTGCTCTCTTTTTTCCTTCAAAGGATATCACAATGAAATGAAAATCTTGGGATTTCTGAATGTAGTCATGCAAATTATAATTGCTGAAAAATAATATTCAGCTCTGTTACTAGTTACTACACCCTAACTAATTATCTTCACTGCAAATACTGACCCATATGTAGCTACCAGGATCCCTCACCCTCAGAACCCATCTGAACCTTGCAGGAGCAACAGCTCATGTGGGGACACCCCTTGCAGAGGGTAGTCAGGCCACAGAAAAACAGAGAGATAAATGGATTTTCATTATTCATAGCAGCAAATGATAAACAAATGGCTTTTGGAAAAAATCAGGATATTAATCTGATTAACAAATCATCAAAATGCATTTGAACTTCTTCAAGGTATGGGCCAGCAAAAATTCTAGTCAGGGAAGCAACTTCTTTTTTCTTCTTGGGAAAGGCAAAGAAGAACTGAAGGAACTTTCAAGTTTTTGATATCTGGGGCCACCTTAAATTTGCTTCTTCAATGAGTTGACAGGAGGCTGAAGTTTGAGGAAAGAGGTTATTTGCACAATTAGTCATCCACATAACCTTGCAAAATACAATAGCAGTTACCATTTTATTGCCTTTCTCTTTTGATCCTGTGTCAATAGAATGATGGCCAAAGGCCTCCAGAAAATTCTAGTTATGGAGATTTCAGGGGGAAATTCTTCAAATTAGGTTTTCAATGCTCGGTGTCTACAAAAATTTAGACAGAGACTGGAAAAAAATGGCATATACAGGGATACAAAAAGGAGAATTGCAGGAAATTGTAATTTTGTTGTAACTGTTGGGCCTTAAATTGCTTCTTGAATGAGCTGACAGGAGGCTGAAGTTGGAGGCAAGGGGTTATTTTCACAATTATAGTCTCCCACATCCTTGCAAAATGCAGCAAAAAGTTATGTTATCATTTTATTGCTATTTCTCTTCCCTGTGCCAATAGAATAATGGCCAAAAGGCCTCCAGAAAATCCGAGTTATGCAGATTTCAGGGTTGAAAGTCTTCAAGGTTTTTAATGCTTTCTATCTTTAAAAAAAATTCAGACAGGGACTTGCAATAAATTTGCGTATATATGGAGGAATTCAAATTTATCTGGGAGGTTCGAGTTTTCGATGCTCAAGTGTTTACTTTGAAATTGAACGAGTTTCGCTCAAAACATACAAGTATTTTTTTGTTTTGTGAAATCAACACTTTCAATGAGGATGATCAGGATTTCACGCACATTTCAAATACTCCCGAATCCCGGCGACGTCGTTGATGGAGTTGCATGCCCCTGGAATGTCGATGGCACAATTGACGTATTGTCTGACGAGGGCGGGATTATTCAGTGTTTGGCAAAGAACCCTGTAATCTGGCAATCGTCCTGCAGGCTGTTGCTGGGGAAACCTCTGAACTGCTTGAGCTCTTCTAAAATACAAAATAAATCACGGAAATGCTTCACTTATTAAAACGAAGATCATCAGATTTATAAAAATTATCATGCGCAAGAAAATTCGGATCCGAGAACCTTTCCTTATTAAAAAGCTGTTTTGACGAAAAGAATGACGACGAGAAAGATGAATTCGAATATGCCGGGAACCTAAATTCGAAACATTTAGAACGCAATCCTCTACTAAAATTTATTACGTAACGGAATTTTCAGAATAATTTTCCATGCAGAAATATTTGCACCTTCTACACTCTATAAATGGCACAGCATTCCATCAAATCCCATATTATTGCTGTCACAATTTCCGCTCACGACATCGAAGTTAACCAAAGAATTATTACATGGTCCTCATCATCATGAAAAAAAAACTCCTACACAATTTACATAAACCTCGATCACTAACTTGTTTGAATGAAATATATTTATTTACTTCAAATACTATTTATTTGTCACTGATACTCGTCAAGCATGGAAGTTCATTTTCGACACTTAATTTTGGCTGATTTACTGATAGTGAAACGACAAATGGCATGTATTTTTTAATTTCGATGTTTTCATCCAAATTATGTTATCCTCCTTTGCGAAGTGCAGCAGAAAGCAAAAGCAAAATATTGAAAAAAGCAAACTGAAGTCATTAATTATTGACATTATTTGCAATCAATTGGATGGATGTAATTCACTCACGGTTGCAGCTGTTGGCGAAATCCGAGTCGGTTTCCTTGAAATTGAGCCTCACTCATTCCGCACAGAATTAAAAGTAGAGTTAAAGATCGCGACATTTTCAACGCAAAAAAAATGAAGAATCCTGTGAACATGTGAAAGGAAATTCAATCCTTCGAAAATTAATCGCAGAACGCACATTTTTCAGCAATCATGCACGCAGTCCAGATTTAAAAAAAATTATGGTTAAGGATAAATCGCCGTTCTTTTACATAAATAGAAGTTTCATTTCATATTCTGGCACTGTCACTTCATTTTCTAACCGAAGAAATTATTTTTAAAAGATATCCCTTTAAAATTTGCCAAACAATATTCAGGTTCGCAGCCAGTGAGACTTTTTCCACGAATGAAACCTCGCATCCAAGGCATCAATGGAAATAAACCACAGTCAAGTGAGTCCTTTATAATTGTGTGACTTCTTCCACTTTTATTTTTATTTTTTTGGCAGTCAGCTCACAAAAGGGGTCCCCCAGTCAGGGCTGGGCTTCCCCAAGGTCACGGGGTTCCTGATGGGTCATTCAATGGGAGAAAAATCATGACTGCAAAATCGCGGCCTTGTCCTTGCCTGCAGGTGGATGTGATGCAATCACCTGTTCATGGAAGAGTCATGCAGTTTTCAGACCAATCAACGGTACTAAATAATGTTGGGGTTTTTATAGGAATCCTGTTTAAATTTACCAATCTTTTTTTTTCTGCGAACATGATTCATTAATTTCGTCAGCTATGTATATAGTAGAGCAGACATATCTTCAGGGGTTACTTTTTCTTGGAAATACGTTTTCAGTTTTCCCACCCCCCAAAAACCCCAATTTTTTCGTCATTTTTTTATTTTCGAAAATCTTGGTTTTCTATATAGAGGGTTCGCATTTCTGAGAGGATATCATAAGGAAATTGTTCCTCTACTACTTATGGCAAGAAAATAGGAGGAGAACCATACAAAATAAAATCTCTTTACAGCGAGTACTGTTGCGAATTACCACTAATTTTTCAGTGAATTTTTTTTTTGCCGAAGACCCCAAAAGTTTGTTTTATTGTAGGAAGATTTTATTGAAGAGATACCAATAAATACTGTAAAAATAAGCTGAAAGATTAGGAAAATTAGATTTAATTGACTTTTTGCCGTAGAGTAGAACTTTTATGAATATAATTATTTGACCGGAAAATCTTGCAAGGTTCAAAAATCCTGTATTTTGGTACAAAAATGCCACAACATGAATTTTTATCTCTGAGAAACGTCCTTTGATAACTGAATCAGCAGGCAATGGTATGTAAACAATTTCTAAGTTATATCAAAGAAGTCTAAATGCAGTTTGATAGGGATATTTCATTTTGTCAAATTTCAATCTTAATATTTTATGTACAGTACTGTACTGTACTAGCTGGTAAAGAGCATAAAAATGCATTCATAAAAATTCAAAAAGTTTTGAACTCAACAAGATTTCCACCTAAATTCATGCAAGTTTTTCAATTCAGAAGGAAAAATTGAACTGTGAAAATCATTGGAGAAGTATACAGTTTATATCCAAAACATATGCAGGGATGAAGGTTCCAAATGAAGGCAACATCTTTCTCAGGCTTCCTTGCCTTTCTTTTCAAAAAGGTGAGGAAGTGAAGGTGAGGTTATATTCAGAAAGGTAATTCCTAGACCTTCCATACCTGTTAATTCAGGGAATCAAAACTCTTGCACTTCCACAATTTCATAATTCACCATCAGATTCTCATTCCTTCCTGACAGTGGGAAGGAAAACCAGGAGACAATGTTGCCAATTCATATAGCACATGGGATTTTTGTACATACCTACATGATTTTTTGAAGGCTCAAGATTTTTTGGCGTATACTGGATTGGTGGCCTCACAGGACTTTTGGGCGGCAGCATTTTTTCTCCCACAGGATTTCATCATGGAGCAAGCCCCTATATAGCATATGAGGATGCATAGTGAACATTAACAACTTTTCAAATTTGTACATATGTTGCATGTACGTGCACAATCACCATGTGAACACAAAGTTGTCCGTTTTTGTCCTAAGCTCCTCCAAAATCAATCCAAAAGTTTTTGCCAAGTAGGACATGCGTGGACATCTTTTTCTTTGAAGGATTATTTCTGCATGAAATGCTGACATTTCGGAAAGTTTGGAGCAAATTTGGATTAAATTTTGATAAATTTGGAGCAAATTCAGGCTAAATTTAGTTAACTTTGACACAATTTGGACTGCAAATATAACGAAATCTTTTGGATGTGTGAAAATTGGCCTACTTCAGAAATTCAGAAATTCATTTGATGTGCATAGACTTGTCTGAACTTAGACACACAATCAATGTCGGTTTTGACTAATATGGACAAGTTTGGACACCTTTAGAACACATTTCTTGACCTTTGGACAACATTTGGCCTAATCTTGGTTAAGTATATAAATTTTGAAATGATTTGGAGGGAAAATGGACAACTTTGTGTTCATTGGGTCAGAAGTTCAGAACACATTTTCCTATCACTGACCTGAATGTGAACATTTGTGTCAGCTTGTTTGGAAAAATTGGAATTGTCATCTTGAAAGCAGAAAATTACTCTGAAGAAAAAAATCAATAAGACCAAAAACCCTTGTTGCGTGAAAAAGAGGCACAAAGAAAGCAAATGCTAATATGCACATTGTTTTTTGGTGCAAAAAACAATAAAAAGGAAGACACAAATTATCATGTGTTTTATTCTAACTGCAGTAAATTTTTACTGCTGGACTGTCCTCTCTCTCCACAATGATCTTGTCAACTCAACATATTTCTCCGCATGAAAAATTCTTGTTTTGTTTCTAATGGGTTCTGTTCCCAAATGTTACAGGGGTCTCTAAATGCCACAAATTTCCCTCAAAAAGACAATTGTTGGATGGTCCCTTGACTTGCGTGTGTTGTTGAGAGAGTGAGAGTCCATCTGTAATGAAATGTAGTTTTAATCCCCCCCCCCCACATAACTAGCTCAATTCTCATGAGGCTTTAGAATTTTGAAAAATGACATTTTGCTTGAAATCTTGGCTGTATCCATGTTGAGAAAATGTCCACACGTTTGGGCAGATTTTTTTCAGTTTGAAACGTCAGTGTAAAATCTTAAACTTGCATGCACGTTGGACAACCTGCATGATATGTTGGTATCCCATAACTCATCTACATTGATATTTCAGCTGCTCAAAATCTACGGGGCGAACAGAAAAATATGGACTTTCAGGACATATTCCTTCTGATTACTCCAATCTCCGCGCATGCTTTGGTTGGGTTCAGTTTGGCAATGCGCACTTGAGCCAAAAAATATTTCCCTATCTGCCTCACAACATCTGAAAGTGCTGGATACACAGCAGCCAAATGAAATGAAAAACTCGCCCTACATATAGTAGGAGCTAATGATCTCCTTGCTTGAAAAAGCTGTAAATCCATCAATGACTTATATACCGTATATAGAAATCCCAAAAATGGCAGCATGTTATTTCTGCTCTTTTTAAGGCCCATTTGACTTTTTAAATTATTATTTAATGACAACATCACGAATCATTGAAAAATCAGTGTAAGTTCAGTGTAGGTAAGAAAAGTGTAATATTATTTTTCTGACAAAAATTCTTGGTAAATTTGGCAAGTGCATGCAGAATTAAAATGGAGTAAAATCTCTCTACAACAAATGCAAAGCCTGAACCAGCAAGCAGCTCAACTTTTGTTTACCAAAGTATGCGTTGTATATTTGAACTAACTCAGTAATTGTGGGTATTGGTTGGGCAGGGACTTACATAATCCCTCTGTCCATCATATGATTAACATAAATTAATCGTTATCCAGAAATATTTTAACAAAATCCATACTGTATACAGTACTTGCATGAGGAAATGTTCTGTAAAATTGTATGCTGCCTATTTATATACAGATATTATATTTTGTCTCAGTGACTGACTGCAGGAGTTCATTTTCCCAATATTTTTCAGAAGAAAGCTTGGATCAGACTGCTGGTAAATCTGATCATTATAGGTTACCCATGCTGTGCAATTGTGTAGTCATACACATCCCATGGCACAGTATAATACTGTATTCTGTACATATGTGGGATGTCCTCAAAATCCTCATGGCCAGATACAGTAAATGCCACTGTACTTGACATGTTAGTTAGTATATTAGCGTACATATCAATCCATTATTGTCACTGGTTGCCCTTATGCCGGATGACATGATGTCTTATCTGAAGGAAGTTCAGGGATAAGCGGATTACATCCTTTGATCTTCTTTCGGTGGTAACAGGAGTAACGAAATTGAAGCTATCTTTTTCCTCGATATCCCTTGCGACGTACGTCAACAGCGATAAATCTCGATTTTTTAGTACTTCAGTCAGCAGGTATTCTCCATGTTGATGAACCAGACTACAGACACCAATGAGAGGGAGTTGAAAATCTGTTCGGACGAAATATTCAGTGCCAAGAGTTCACGATATGTGAATTTTGAATGAGAAAAGTGCAGAATTGTCTGAATTCATGTTGAGTACGAAGTTTCGGTGAGTATAGAGAAAGAGATACTGTAAAACCTTTTCGACGGGTCCCACGTTTTCTCCAATGATTCAAATGAAAAGTGTGAGCGGATTTAGCCTCGAGGAACTCGTTGCTATGATGTGAATTGCGTAATATTGTTCGTGCGTACACTTCTGCTTGAGTGATGCTTAAAATCGCTTCACAAACTTAATGAATGCAGCATATTCTGAATTTCAGAGTGTTTCTATATGCCATGTGAGGCTGATAGTAACAGACTGAGATCATGGCGCCACATTGGAGCAAGTTGGCCCCGAACAAGAACAGTGCGGTGATCGCCTCTCAAGCTGCACTTCTTTACTGGTTCTGTGCTACCTTCAGATGGCTTCCAGGCATCCGGTTAGTCCTATTTTTCAAACCTGCCCACGAAATATTCATTTTTATTAATCGGGGAGCACGTTATTATGTTAATGTTCGTTGTCAATTCATCGCGTCTGTCTTGAAGTTTGCGTCTGTTTTTGATTCCCATCATCCGAAATCGTTACTTCTCAGAGCCAGAATACACCGAAAACGTGTCCTTGTGAGTGACCCGAAGGATGGCGCGAAACGAAGTGCGAAAGACCGGATGCAGTTTTCCAAATCCATCCGGAAAATCTTGGCAATTCTCATTCCCTCACTGTGCTCTCGTGAAGCAATCTACGTGGTTTGCGTGGCATTGCTCCTCGTGGCGAGATCGACGTGTGATCTCTGGATGATTCGCAATGGCACATTGATCGAGAGAGTCATCATCAGTCAACAGCCGGATGAATTTCGAAAGCATCTGCTGGAATATATTGTTGCTATGCCGATAGTAAGCGTAGTGAATGGACTCCTCAGATTGACGATCAACAGGCTGAAGCTAGCTTTTCGAATTCGTTTAACACGACATCTTCATGAAACTTACATGGACTCCAATACGTTCTACAAGTTGTGCAATATTGACTCGCGTATCCAAAACCCTGATCAAATTTTGACTCAAGATGTGGATAAGTTATGCAACGGCATCGTGGACTTGTACTCGAATGTGACCAAGCCTGTGATGGACATATTTATTTACATGATCCGGCTTACCACGAATCTTGGAGGAAGGGTAACGTTTATATCTGCTATCTGCATTGGTCAATATATTTGTATATAGCTTTTATTTCGCTTTGTAATGTAGGCTCCATTCCTGCTGACGATGTACATGATGTTTGCCGGTTCTGTCTTGACCCGTCTTCGAAGACCGATCGGGAGCTTGACCACGATTGAGCAACAGTTGGAGGGATCCTTCAGATTCTTGCATTCGCGATTGATCAGCAATTCCGAAGAAGTGGGCTTTTATCAGGGTAACCAGACAGAGAAGAAGAATTTGAATTTTGCCCTGGATGACCTGAGCAGGCACATCACGGACCACATGAATTTCAAATTCATCATTGGTGTTGGAGATAGCATCATTGCCAAGTGTTAGTTGCGGTTTTGGGTTTATGTTGAAGTACATCGAAAGGGACGTGTGAACTATTCGTTTTCAACAAGTTTCTCGTTTCAGATATATCCACGGTTGTTGGATATCTTGCAGTCAGTCAGCCTTTCTTACGTGCGAACAATCCGAAAGTTGGAACCACTCCCCCGGAAAGACTCGAGGTATTGATGGGTTGATGTTTTGTATTTTCGAACATGCGAAGGCTTGTGATTTTAATACAATTTTCAAGTGCATTACTTCAGATTACTCAGACAAAATTTTCCCCGTGAATTGGAAGAGAATTCTCTCGCAAATCGAAGATACTTTCATTTGCCAAAGAATTGAATGATTTCTCCAATGAACTTCCCAGTACGTTGCACCTCGATAAATCGAACCTACCTGAGTCAAATACGTTGCTGTGTCAAATTTTTTGAAGTCCCCTGTCTGAATTCCCTTAGAAATAATGCGTCAAGAACCTCGTTAACTTGAAAGCTTTCTCCCACAATTTTCGAATTTTATGTAGGTCCTTGGCTATTTTTTTTTTATTTACTCAAGAAAGAGAAAGCTATGAAAATGTAACCTGATGTATTTTGAATAATTTGAAAGGAATTGGAGGAATAATTGGGAAATTAAACTTTACCACCAACTTCTGCATCCTGTCAAGTTATTTGGGAAGCAATTCAAAGCCCAGAGTATCCTCAATTAAAAATTTCTGTAAAAATTTTTTCTTTCCCCCAATAAAAATGTCTCTTTCCCTATCTGGAAACCTCCCTAATCCGAATATTTTTGCTTATCTCTGAGTTCAATCTGAAGAAGTTGGACTCCATTAGTCATTCGATTTGTGTACATTCTTCGAAAGTGAAAATTAGGCGCACTTTCCACGCAACTCTTAAAGTGCAGTCAAGTCTTGGAAGTTGAATGCATTTTACTTGTTTCAAAATCAGATTTTTCGTGTTAAAAAAAAAAGAAGAAAATGTTCTCGTGAGTGTGCGAATCTGCCCAATTTTGATGACGGATTCGTTATTCGATGCTTTTCAACAGCATTACTACAAAAACGGAAGGATGATGGTCAACTTGGCTCAAGCTATTGGCAGACTAGTACTAGCTGGTCGAGAATTGGCGAAGCTGACTGGCTTCACTTCTCGGATTTCCGAGTTCATGTACGTCTTGCAAGAAGTGCGTCGCGGAACTTACCTTCGTGGTTCTTCTGGAGATAGCAACGCTAGTCTGGTTTCACCAACTGTTCATGGCAATGGTCGCCTTATCGTTTCGGAGGATCGGATCATTAAATTTGAGGGTGTGAAACTGGTGACTCCTACTGGGGACGTTTTAATCGAGTCTCTGGACTTGGAAATTCGTGCGGGCACGAATGTTCTGATTTGTGGCCCGAATGGTTGTGGGAAAAGTTCGTTGTTTCGTGTGCTGGGGGAACTGTGGCCAGTTGCATCAGGTACTTTGGTCAAGCCTCGATCGGAGGATCTTTTCTACATTCCGCAACGGCCGTATATGACGCTTGGAACTCTCCGAGATCAAGTAAGAAATAATTAAATGACCGTGATTATTTCCTCACTGTGACAATTTGGTCTTACTGTACCACAAATGAATGAATTTCGAAGGAGTAAGCGAGTTTCAATAAATCTGACGAAATCTGAAAGAAGAATAATTCATGACTGAATTTAAACTTTCAACAGTTATTATTTTAATGCCGTATGTGCTAGTCAAACCCCTATTTAGTGCCATCATCGGTCCCAGGACTTTTTATGGCACCAAGTGAGGGTGGCACTAAATTGGGGGTAATACAAAAGATGTAGGTCCAGTTCACGGTGAAGACCAGAGGCAAACCTGTATTGTTTACATTGCTTTTATTTTTCTTCTCAAGTCATCACCTATGAACATTTTTGCATACAATTGAAAAATCGAAATGCTGACAATTCTGCTTAATGGAGGAGAGAAAACACAAGGGGCCAAATGGATCAGGGGAGAGATTGCTCATAATTCTTCGTTGAACCATTGGTGTAGACCTGATTGAAACTTTGTGCAAACAGAAAACTTAGAAGTCACACAAAGCTGTCCCAAGATCAACATGAGAAAGATTAGTTCAAGAAAGTTTTCATTGAACAAAGTTTTCCACTCAATGCAGCAATAAATTTGAAAGGTTTTTTTCTGATTCCGTTTGAAATGTATTTGAAAAGTTCAAGTTTTATAACATGTGCTATCAAGTAAAGATCCAGTGTTTCCAAAAAGATCATTGTTATTGGACTGTCTTGAAAGCAGAAAGGTGTGATGTCAGAAAAATGAAAATTTTGAAAGATGTTACTGCAAACATGAAACATGTATACATGTTTAGATTTTTGTGTTCACACAAACCGTGCTTCTCAGTGAATCCTCCATGAAACCAACAATTGCAGGCATAAAATTCAATATTTTGTATGCATTTTTATGCCCAGAACAGGAATTTTTGGGTGGCACTTCGTGAGTTGGGCACTAAATTGGGGTTTTCCTTGAGAGCATAATGGAGGGAGATTTTTTCCACTAGCATATGTGGCACTGAGCAAGGGGGCACTAAATTGGGAGTTGACTGTATTTGTGCGTGTGTTCTCTCAGGTCTTGCTCTTTAGATGTGTACTTCTCCACTTTTGATGAGGTACTGTAATTGATGAGTACAGTCAAACCTCAAAAGGCCACCACCATTTCTTTGTGACGTTTGTAGCAGTTTAAAAGGGGCTGGTGGTTTATCCAAAAAGCTAAAGCAATGTAAAAATAAAGTATAATATGAAATATAATTTATATTCTTCAAAAAAATCAAAATAACCGTGGGATGCGGGAATTATGTCTAGCTAATGGCTTGAAGAAGTAAATTATGTCATGTTTGTGTTAGAAAACACAACTTTTTGACAAGAACTCTGTTTTTAGTTTCTAACCATTAAAAATACTGAAAATTGAATGAATTTTGGTAAAATTCATGAAATTCAAATTCTTTCGTTTTTTTTCGAAACATTTTCGTTTTTCAGTAACTAAGAATGGGGTACGCGTCTTACTTGAGGGCTTGTGGTACGTGAGGAACTATAATTTCTTCATCTTCAAAAAATGTGGTTTTGAGTCTCTGCTGCGAATTTTCATATTGGAGTAGTTCTTGAGCGAAAATTTAAATAAACGAGTTCATTGCATTTCAGTTTGATACACTATTTCTTTGAAACCTATGGATTAAGAAAGAGACACAGGGAGCTATTCGACTGAGCAAGGCTCGAGTTGTCGAATTTCAACCGTATTTCGGATGATTTACCTTTAATTTTGCCGTTTGTCTGTTTTGATTGACATTGAGTAAGGATTCTAAAACCAATTACAAAACCGAAGCGATTCTAGGGTTTCAGATGAGTGTAAGTTTCTTCTCGAGCGAAGTTTCTCGAACATTTAGACGCTTGAACATTTACGTCGTTTTAGTTTGAAATATTTTTCGTGTACAGCAGTAACATTCTTCGTGTTGTGAGACTTCGGAAACAAAGTATTTTCATCCCGGCATTGGGAATTCTATTTGACAGTCGTATACTGAATATAATTTTGGAGCCACACCCCCGTCCGTTTTCCCGGTGTATATTTTATCGAATGGCCTTGACTTTATGATACAGATGGCGAGGTTGTTGTATCACCAGCCGGCATTTGCTATCTTGGACGAGTGCACGAGCGCTGTTAGCTGTGATGTGGAGGATGAAATTTACAGCTATTGCCGAAACGTCGGCATTACTTTGTTCACGGTTTCTCATCGAAGATCTTTGTGGAAACATCACGAGGTAAACCTTCGTTTTATGTTGGCATGACGTGGGTCTAAAAGTTTCTTTGGGATTCTAAGTGAGTATTCTTTGAAGTGTTTTCAAGCGTCAATGAGAACTGTGCGAAAAATGATCTGATTTAGTGATGGGAATGTTTGAAGGAAACGGCTCGAGAAAGAAAAGTGCTGAAACTCGTCCTCACAAAAGTTATTAGAAGTTCTGCCATGAAATTGTGCGTCACCATTATTGTACCCAATGATAGATAGGTATTTATTGGCCAAATTCGTTAGTAGGAAAGTTGTTCGAAGCGAATTTTTCATAAAAAATTTGAAGTACAAATTCAAAGTTCAGGGATTTTCAATAAAAATTTAAAATTTTCGTCTTTCTTTTTCAGTTCTACCTCCACATGGACGGAAGAGGGGGTTATCGTTTCGAGAAAATTACTTCGGATACTGTGCCATTTGGTTCGTGAAAGTTTTCCAGTTTCTGCGAAATATTCGAGTGGATATGAGTACCGATTCGTGGTCTTAATCTATCTAGGAAATTTCAGCACTCGAGCATTTTTTTTTTGGAATTACTTGAAACAAGGTGCATGTGTTACATACATTCGTAAACCGGTTCGTTTTCGAACCCTGTGATCATACGGTATTTATAGGAGTTGGTGCTCAATGAAAATTGATTTCTGTCGTTGTTTCGTTCCCTCCTTGTTCGAGGAGACACTTCCGAAAGCAGCTTTCACGGGATACGGTTTTTGTTTCGTTTTGATTTTTTGGTGTTTCGAATTATGTGATCGGTTGTTGAACAAGTTTTCCAGGGATTCTGTCGGAGAGTTGCTTGAGTAATTTGATTTTTCTTTGAAAATTGCCATTTTCTCTCAGATCTTCTCCGTGTGAATTACGGTATACAGCGTAAAATTTTACAATCCTTCTCTTACCTTGAAATCGACTTGCTTGAGTGCGAATCTTTCGTTTTCATGATTATGATATTTTGGGCTTGTGAATATTCTCTAAAAAGCTGAATTGTTGCCTAGTGCTGGTTTAGGGAATGGCAATGAAAACTTTATACAGTATTCTATTTACTTTTTATGTCAATTACATGCACTTGGTCTTCGGCGAGTTTTTGGGCAATTCCGATTTTTTTTAACGTTATGTATGCATACATACGACTTGCCGAATTCTGAATATTTTCCTCAACGATGACCCTCATGTACTTCATTGAATTCATGCTCTCACTCATCAGTGACTTTCGGACTAATCATTCAACTTTTTCTGCGTTAAAACTTTTCAACTTTGTGCACGACTGGGAAAAAATGGCTCATTTGTTAGTGACTTCTCATTTCTGAGTCGATCTGTGCGCATTTTCAAATTAGGTTGTCTTCTCCTCAGATAAAATTTTTTTGAAGGTTATCGAAAATTATGTCAGTCATGAATTGCGCGCGGATTGTGCCACACCACGTTTTCCTGAGATCGATGAGCTCATCGGTCCCTACGACGAAAATGTTCATCAACGGGCAGTTTTTGGATTCGAAGACAAAGGACTGGATCGATGTTCACAACCCGGCGACGAACGAGGTCGTGACCCGAGTTCCGAAAAGCACGCACGACGAAATGGAAGCTGCTGTGAAAGTCGCCAAGGACGCCTTTCGAGATTGGTCCCGAGCGTCGATCCTTTCGCGTCAGCAGATCATGTTCAAATTTCAGCAACTGATCAAGGAACACATGAAGGACTTGGCTCATTTGATCACGCTCGAGCAAGGAAAGACTCTGCCTGATGCCGAGGGTGATGTATTGCGAGGCCTGCAAGTTGTTGAGCATTGCTGCAGCATCACCAATCTTCAGGTGAGACGTTGCGAGGTTTTTTTCTCTTCATTTATTCAAGTGTCTTTCACTGACCGAGCCGAGAATTCTTGTGTGTTTCCTTGGTAATTTTATTGTAGAATTTGTGACCGTTAAAAGAGCGAGTATAATTTTCGTTTTTACTTGAATACGACACGCACTTTTTTTGTTAATGAAAAAATCACGGCAGAAAAGTCGTGTCGTATGTGGGTATACATTTTTTGGAGAAAAAAAATTGAGAAAATAATGGTGAAGGGCATTAATGATACCTTTATATTTACGAATGATGTACAGGGAATTCTGTTCAGCACGAATCCAAATGTTGTTCCCGGTTATTGCACTTGCTTCCCGGAGCTTGAGTGGAAGGATCTAATGCAAAGTTGATCCAAACATTATTCTTCACCTGCTGAGTGTGTTATTTTGTAATCACTTGCTTCCTTGCGCAATTTTTAGAGTTGAGAGTGTCCGCCTCTGGCATGGTTGGAAACAATGTTGTAATTTCTTTACCCGAATTCATGTTTGTTCTATATTTTCTGTAGTGTGTTATTTTGTAATCACTTGCTTCCTTGCGCAATTTTTAGAGTTGAGAGTGTCCGCCTCTGGCATGGTTGGAAACAATGTTGTAATTTCTTTACCCGAATTCATGTTTGTTCTATATTTTCTGTCTTATCTATTCTTCAATAATTTTCAAGAATGTCAGAACAAATTTCAAGTAAGCCTTTGTCAAACTCCGATCATTTGTGGCAATGACGTTTCTGTTGGGTTATTTGCTTGAATTTTATTTGAGTTTTGGACTGGTTTTGAAGAAGAGCGAAAGAGTAAAGGTCTAAAACTGACTCCTGAGGAGAAGCTGAACATTTTGCTTGTCTTGAACATGTTAAAAATATTGAACAATAATCGAAAATGTAGTCGATAGAGCATGTGATCAGCTTTGCTGGCATGAATAGCCTAGGTTTTCGTTTAGATACTTTAGAAGATGACGAGTTTTTCGGACAAGAGTGAGAAATCCAAAAATGAGAGAAAGAAGAAAGCTTTAGTAGTACAGTATTCGCTTCCTTGTGAAACCTCATCTTCATTGAATTGCTTTTGGAATACCAGTGTGTTATTTTGTTATCACTTGCTTCCTTGCGCAATTTTTAGAGTTGAGAGTGTCCGCCTCTGGCATGGTTGGAAACAATGTTGTAATTTCTTTACCCGAATTCATGTTTGTTCTATATTTTCTGTGTTATCTATTCTTCAATAATTTTCAAGAATGTCAGAACAAATTTCAAGTAAGCCTTTGTCAAACTCCGATCATTTGTGGCAATGACGTTTCTGTTGGGTTATTTGCTTGAATTTTATTCGCGTTTTGGACTGGTTTTGAAGAAGAGTGAAAGAGTAAAGGCCTAAAACTGACTCCTGAGGAGAAGCTGAACATTTTGCTTGTCTTGAACATGTTAAAAATATTGAACAATATTCGAAAATGTAGTCGATAGAGCATGTGATCAGCTTTGCTGGCATGAATAGCCTAGGTTTTCGTTTAGATACTTTAGATTAGAAGATGACGAGTTTTTCGGACAAGAGTGAGAAATCCAAAAATGAGAGAAAGAAGAAAGCTTTAGTAGTACAGTATTCGCTTCCTTGTGAAACCTCATCTTCATTGAATTGCTTTTGGAATACCTGATGTTTCATACACTGTCTCTCCTGTTACTTGAATGGTTGTGATTAAAGTTCTCGAACGTTATCAACTGTCCAAAGATAACGATGCCAGCATTTTGAAATTTGCCAATCATTGTTTGTGTAGTAGTTTTGTAAGAGTTGTTGGAATTTGTCGTTTCTTTCATGACAGTTGGGTGAAACAATGCCCGGGATCGCCAAGGATATGGACATTCATTCATACCGCGTACCCCTGGGGGTGTGTGCTGGAATAACCCCATTCAACTTCCCTGCGATGATCCCTCTCTGGATGTACCCAATGGCCATTGTTTGCGGCAACACGTTCGTGATCAAGCCTTCGGAAAGAGACCCAGGTGCAGGAATGCTGCTTCTCGAACTGCTGCAAAAGTCTGGGTGTCCCGACGGGGTCGTCAATTGCATCCACGGGGCCCATGCTTCGGTTGACTTCATTTGCGACCATCCGGACATTCGAGCTATTTCCTTTGTCGGCTCTGACCAGGCTGGACAGTACATTTACGAGCGTGGGTCCAAGAATGGGAAACGAGTGCAGTCCAACATGGGTGCCAAGAACCACGGGGTCATTTGCGCGGATGCGAATAAGGAGCAGACGCTGAATCAGCTCGTGGGTGCTGCGTTTGGTGCCGCGGGGCAGCGTTGTATGGCGCTGTCGACTGCTGTGTTTGTGGGGGAGTCTCGGGGTTGGATTCCGGACTTGGTGGAACGTGCCAAAGCTCTCAAGGTAAACTGCGAGCGAGTTGTTTTTTGTTGTTGTTAAAATTTTCGAAACGCTGATGTCTTTAAAATCTAAGTCAAATCTAAGTCTAAGTCAAGTGACCTACGGACGAGTTCGACGTAGGGATTCTTGATCTCTCAAAAAGTCTGCCCTGGCATCCGGACAATGTCTCGAAATTCAGACGCGTTACCAACATTTTTAGACGATTGGAAACTTCCTGTGCTTCAAAATTGTGATGTCTCTCAAAAAATTGAGACTTTTGTTTTCACAACAATGGAAAATGCATTTTATCTTAAATCCACTTCACTTCAAAAATTGTTATCTATGTCAGCCTACAAGGACTGTCCACGCTTGTTATGTGGCCCTTGGCCACATATGACTTTTGTAGCAATGTTCAAAGACTTCGAATGTGATTTTCAATCTAGCGAATTATTCACCTCCTAGGCTCTTGTAAATACTGCGTGGACTGGTGATTGTGAGTGACATGCATCCACGTTCTGATGCTCAGCGTGAACAACGTTGTGTTCCGTGTAAATTGTTTGCGTGGAACATGGAAACGGGTTTCGATATTAATGCATCTACCTTTCACGAGGTTTGTTTCATAATGAGTGAAAAGCTTGAATTGAAAAGAAGAGATGGTGTCGTGTTGTTTATTGGAAAGTCTTCGTCCTAAAAAAATTTCATGGCCTTTGGCACATTCATTTTCGCACAAGCAGTATCTTTTGTTAAAGAAGTCTACAGTATTTATCGAACATCGTCACGAAATGTTCTCTCTCGTCTTCGAAACATAGTCCGTTCTTTATTGTCCTGGTTGAATATTTTTTCATTTTTGGAAGGTGAATATTGAAGCTAACCTTCTACAAAAGCATGAACGGTCATTTTATTTCTCCGCTGTTTAATTAGCTCCGATTTATGTCTCGAGCGCTTTTAATTTTTAAAATCCGAAGCAATTCATTATCGACTTTTATCGCAACCGTGTGAGGTAACTGAGACAAAACAACTAAGCATAGTATCTTTGCGAACAAAACTTCAGCAAAAATTCTTCGTCATAGACGTTTTTGCTTTTAAATTTGTTCGAAACTTGACTCCACTTCACGTTGTTGATTTCCCGGGCATACAAATCTTGAAATGCTGAAATTCGGCACAAAAAAAGCACGGAATATTTCCTTCTGATGTGACTCTCTTTCCTGATGCAAACTTGATTTTTTGCAGGTCAATGGAGGAACTGAACCCGGAACAGACATTGGCCCAGTGATTTCCCCGGAAGCCAAGAAGCGGATTTGCGACCTCGTGGAATCCGGCAAAAAACAAGGTGCCAATCTCATTCTCGACGGTCGCGACGTCTCTGTATCTGGAAAATACTCGTCCGGAAACTTCGTCGGACCCACGATTCTTACCGGCGTGAAACCAGAAATGACTTGCTACAAAGAAGAGATCTTTGGCCCAGTTCTGGTCGTGCTCGAAGTGGAAAAGCTGGACGACGCTATCGAACTCATCAACTCGAATCCCTACGGAAACGGAACTGCGATTTTCACTACGAATGGAGCCACCGCGCGGAAGTTCACGCAGGAAATCGACGTCGGGCAAATCGGCGTCAATGTCCCAATCCCGGTCCCGTTGCCCATGTTCAGTTTCACGGGATCCAGGGGTTCTTTCCGTGGTGACATGAACTTTTATGGGAAAGCTGGGATTCAGTTTTACACGCAGCTCAAGACAGTGACTCAAATGTGGCGGGCAAGTGATGCTTCGGACAAGAAAGCCGCAACTGCTTTCCCAACACTGAAGTGAGGCTGGTCTCGAAAGTGAATAACGAACGATTCGAAGGTGTCTGGAAAAGTTCTTTTTCTGTTCGTTTGAGTCGAACAGAGGATGGTTTGAGTTTCTTTTTTGGAGTGTGAGTCGCGTCGAACTTGGAAAACTTGTTATTCTTCGGCGTCGTACTAGCCGAGATTTCTGAGATTCTTCCATCTCGACTTTTAGATTATTTTGTATTTTCTTTTTTCTTGAAAAACTATTTTTATCGGAAGACTTTCAGGGAAATTTCCGCCACCAGAAATAGGAATTACACATTTTCTGGTCAATTCTCGAGTGCAGGCTGGCGTGAATAATTTTCTTGCTAGGTATCGTTTGGTTTTTATTTGGTTGTGCGTTTCTTGTCGACATGTGTTTTTTCCCGAAATTATGGCATAAACTCTAGTGAAAATGTCCCGAATCAGGGTTAAGGGGAGCATCTTTCTTGTCTGTTTCGATTTTTGTCGAGGGATTTTTGTTGGAATGGACGGAGATTTTTTCGCGGGTTTGTGTTCTGATCCAGGGAATTCATATTAAATGTGCAATATTATGAAAAAGTGAGCTATTCCGTACAGACGCGATTGATAGGATATTTTTCTTGTCTTTAGAAAGATGCTTGAAGGGTGTGTTTTTGTCTGTCCGCATCGGCTTCCGGTGAAATGAAACCTGCAGATCTGCTGATGATTATTGATTCGAGGAATTCAATCAAATCCAACGAGTAATTTTCGATTCGAGCAATTTGGCCTAAGTATCTCTTGGCGGTGGTTATATTGGCTAGAAATATTTTAGGATGATATCACGCTGCGATGCCCTTCTAATTTTGTTGCATTTCAAGTCGATATTGCGCTAATGGGAAGATTGCCTTGTAAACAAAAATTACTGAAACGCACTGCCGTGGAAACGATGACGCATCAACATCTGTTCGCCACGTCCTGTTTTTTTTTTTTCAATCGAACGGATGAAGCATGTTTCATCGTGAAAAATGATAATTCAAAACATTTAGGCCTTTTTTTCATTTTGTAGCTGCACGAGATACGAATAACTTAATTGAGAAAGGGAATGACGCAACTTGAACCTCACGTGACTCAAAAAGTAATAGCCTTGTGACATGGTTACATAATACTGAATGGTAACATAAGTTGTCGAGCAAATTTCACTTCCGCGTTTCTAATGCACGTATTTTGCAGTGAGTCACATAGTTTTTGTTCTCTTTCGAAGACTTCAGATTCAAGAAAAATGATTTACCCAACTTCAATTTTGCCTTGCTCGGATTGAAAGTGAACACAGCGAACGATTAGATCTTCTGTCTGAAATTCGCTCCAAGGAATAAAACAGGCAGAAGGTTATGATTATTATAAACGTTTTTGGTAGAAAAAAGTTCTTATGCGAATGCAATTGCTGAAAATGTTCCTCGCTATTACAATAGTTTGAAGACCTCTTTTCAAAGATGGAAATTTGTCTGTAGGAGAGGTTTTTCTAACCGTCGCTTTCCCTGACAATATTTCTCTGTTCTTCGCAAAATCGTTGAATTTTGCTTCTCTCTCGTTTTTGAATCCGGTGAAAGATACATGACTTGTTTTTATTATACTGTATCTTGATGTTGACAGATCGGGTGTGTGAGTTGTTCTGAGCCCCGCGTGGTTCAGCTCAGCGCAAGTCCAAAATTTCGTGATGCATTAACTGTGATGTCGAGGGTTGTGGCTGCGAGACAAGATGTCGCTGCTGTCGTCGGTCATCAACCGGCTGTGTCGCGGCCAGCCGGACTCGCCGTTCCAAGTGGTGGAGATGAAGGAGCATGCGTATGCCGACCGACTCGTGCGCATGCGAGAAGACTGCCTCGTGTTGTACGCTTCGATACCCAACGCGGGGGGCAGCAATAACGAAACCGTCGTCGTTGCGGCGACGGACCCGTCGACGACGGGTGCGGTGGGAGCGGCGTCCTCGGGGACAACGACGACGACGACGTCGTCGATGATCGCGGCCCCGGTTCAGCCGCCGGTCTTGTACGAGGTCGTGTTGCACAAGCCGATTCACGCCAAGGATGGATGGAAAGCTTTTAGGTGGGCTTTTTTGTGCGACGAATGCGTGTGACAATATTGCTGGCAACCCCTGGATTCGGTTCTATTTTTTGTCCTGGCACATTTTGTGGCGCTAAATTGAGGGTGTTGTATGAGAGGATGCAAACTGAGCTTTTTTGCAGAATTGTTCGACCGCTGAGTGTTTTGTGAGAGTGAAAGCCGCAAGAAATACTTGGAAACTTGAATGCAATGTTTTAAATTGTATTCTTGTATGTTTATAAAGACCGAATTCGGTAGTAGAAGAGTGTAGCTGTTCCTTGAAGTTTTAAAATTTGTATGATTGAGTTTTGTATCTGATGTCATCTTGCATGAAGCGCCATTGTTTCAATGAGAGCTCACGCTTTATTTATAGAAATCCAAATAGAGAAAGGTTTGCTGGTAAAAAACTTTTTTAACAGTACAAGGTCAGAAATCGAATTTTCAAATTAATGCTGAGGTTTTTTGTGAGCATGGATGTATCATTCTCAGTAATGATATAGCGGTGTATCGGAAAAATCCCCAATTTCTTTTCTTTTGGCCCATTTTTCATCCAGGACGAGGCATTTTTCGTTGCACTAAGTGATAGTGCAACTTGGTACTGATTCAAGGTTTACCTCAACAACACAATGGAGGGACATTTTTTCCAAAGAAATCTTTGACACTATGTCTGGGTCGCACTAAATTGGGGGTTGATTGTATTTTGATTGCAAGTGTTGTTGAGTTTCCCGTCTACATGCCTACAGAACCCCTGTCTACAGAATGAAATGCCTACAGAACCCTTGTACCCGAGTCAGCAGATTGGTGATGCTGTTCCATAAAACTGAATGATCGTCGTATTTTTTCCTGAAAGCTGTTCTGAGAGGTTAACGTTGGAATGTCGTTAGAGAAAACGCGTGTACTGTACAGTAGACCCCCGGTTAAGAAACCAGGATCTTAGTTTACAAACCGGCAAACGTTGTGCAGGTTAAATTTTATAATACTGTAGTTATGATTCTGAAATGTACAGTAAAATCTAAATGTAATCAATTAATCTGTGAAGTGGCGAAGCGACCTTGTATGTGTAAACCTGGTTTTGTTTTTTTTCCAGCTGCAATATTTATGTGGTCTTCAAAATAATTCTTCGATTTTCTCCAATTTTGTGAATATCTCGGAGCCGATGTTTGGCTCTGTTCTTGTTGATGATACACTCAGCGGAAAGGTTTTATGTTGTGGAACAAGAAAGATCTGCTTCTTCAGGTTTTACCGAACATTCGCAGGGTGTGCCGTGGATTTTACATATTTTGTGCTGAACGTGAAATCTAGCTTCAAAAAGCTGTGGACAATAGGACACCTTCAAAGAGATTTTTCTATGTTTTTTCCAATGTTGAACTGCGGAATTTCTTCTTTAGTTACAGCTTTGTAAAATTGAAATTTCACATTCCGGTGAAATTAGTACGTACGTGTGGGTGCTTTTTTCTGTACGTGAAGTCTTTTGAGTGTCGTGTTTAGTGGTCACACTTGCATCCAACCCTTTGTGTATTAGATCTGAAATGAATTTTTCCTCTAATTGCAAATTGCAGCTTGGTGCGAGTGCATGAGGAGCAAGTTGCTGAGGCTGAGTTCAACTTGTACAAGACGAAATTTCCCATTTTGATGGCTGGGTATCCGGGTTTATTCACTGTTCGCTTCCTGGAAAGAATGTTGGAATTGATCCACAAACATCCCACGTGGACCTTGGCTCACTTGGCTGCCGAAATGGACGTTCCTGAGGCATTTTCACTTCCTGCTGTCCAAGCGTGAGTGGTAGAAAGCGAAAAGCAATACAAATGTAACCAAATGCATTTTGAAAGAGAATGACGGACTAATAGGGGAAATGTAACCTATGCCTCGAAGCTCAGCGTCCTGTCAACTCATTCGAAAAGGATTTTACTATAGTGCCCCGAATTTCACCAGTCACAAATTGTTTGTAATTCTTCTTTCTTCTGCCAAAAACGCTTGTTTCCCTCACTCCAAACCTCCCTGAAACTCGAATTCATTGTTGCTGTTCGCTTATTGAAATTCTACTTGAATAGGTTCGACGACTGTGTATCTATAAATAAATTGAAAAAGAGTCGGTGTTTTCAGGATGATCAACGAGCAAGACGAGGACAGCGAGTGCGCCCTGCACGTGGCCGTGAAGCGACAGAGTCTGCGGTCCGTGGAAGCCATGATGACCTGCGAACCCCGACTGGACGTGCGGGACAGCAAGGGCTCGACGGTGTTCCACATGGCTGCCCTGTCCAACGAACGGATCATCGCGACGCTGGCCAGGGCCGACAGTCCAGCCGTCAACACGACCAACGACGCCGGCTACAGTCCGCTGCATCTGGCCTGCATGGCGGATAAGCCCGAGTGCGTGAAGGCGTTGCTCGTGTGTGGCGCCGATGTGAACAGCATGGCCATTCGCCCGCCGGGGGATTACAAGCCTATCGACTCGCATGGGCCGGCGGCGCACGAGCCCAGGTGGGATTATTCAACTGCCTTGATTTTGTTTTTCTTTTCCGGATTTTGCGTCTTTTTTCCGACGTTGGTTCGCGTGGATTTTGCCATTTCCTGCCGGACAGCTGGTGCAGCAATTAATTGCCCGTATTTGCTCGAGTACCACGTGCATCTTTTTTTTTTTTCAATATTGAGAGGAAAAATGAAATGTACACGCGTCATAGGCGGGAATCCATTTTTTTCCAAGTTATAGAAGTTTAGGTGTGCATTATATTTGATTCTAATTGGAAATGCAGAACCAAGTTTAACCAATCAAATATTGTAATGGAAATTTTAATTGAAAATCAATTGCACTCAGCATCAATTCATGTGTGAATTGAAATTTAGGTGTTAATTTTTTTTTTTAATTCTGCAGTTCTACGGTCATTAAAAAGGGGCGCGCGTCTTACTCGGGGAATACAATTTTGTGACAAATTTCAACAGAAAAATCGTGTTGCGATTTTCACGTGAGGGCTTGTGGTAATTGAGTAAATGCGATACCTCGAAATGCAGACGTACAGTAATCGGTGCTTGGACCTTGTCCCCGTGTCTGATCACGATTTTGTTTAGACTTTAGAATTTTAGAATTCAGTGGGAAAATCTATTGAATTGGTGCTCTTGTTGAACAAAAATTATGAAAAAAATCCCTCCGAATAAACTGAATGAAATAGATTTTGCTCAACTTCAAGATGCACAAAATTACTGTGCAGAAAAACCAATCGTGATTCGATTTTGTGGCATGAAAAGGAGCCCAAGGATGTATAATACTATGACAAAGTAAGCCCAAAATTAGTCTGTTATGCATTATGAATTTTGGTAAATTTATTTTCAAAATTTGTGGTTGTAAAAAACTGAATTCGGGAAGAAATATCAAAACTGAAAAATGAAATGTTTTCATTAGTTTAGAAATGTTATTCAAGTGTCCGTATCTCGAGATATTGTGCAGATGTTTGTGCAAATTTTTTTGAATTTCAATTTTCCCTAAGTCGATGTATGGAGTTGTCCTCATGTCAAACTTCTGTGTGGTTCTCTCATTTTCTGATATTAACGTATTGTATTTACTCAAGTAGCACTTGCCCGTGAGTAAGATGCGCACCAGGGGATTTTAAATTTAAAAAATTATGAAATTGTATCACTGTACGACTGTAAAACTTCAATATTTCGAAATTAAGACCACCTTAATTCGAACGTAGACATGAACTGAACTTGAATTCAACTAATTTTCAATGTCTCCCATTGCAATGAGTTTCTCTGTTGAATTGGATAAAAAATTTCCTTTTCGAATCAGTTATGATGCACACCTAAATTCCTCAAATGTCCGAAAAATTTATACCCATCAATGACATGCACCACCCTTTTTTCGTCTCAATTTTGAGAAAAGAGGTACGCGTGGTACGCAAGTACAGATATGGTACATGGCAGTTTTACAGTTCATACAGTGTCTGTGGACTTTCCTGCTCCTTCATCTTTTGAATGCTTGCTACTTTGTTCATCATTATTGTTTTGCATCTTAGGTTAGTGGTGGATTTGACTGGCCCAAAATCCAACAGATCGACACCGTCTCCGCCACCGACTCCACCGCCTGCGTTAACAGCCAAAGACATTCTTACGCAGTATCCGAGGCAGTTTGACAACACCGTGAGTAATTTTTTGAGGATATTTGCGAAGTGCATGTGTGGGAAATCATTAGCCTGCGTGCTAAGTTTTTTTTTTTTTTCAAACGTTTACCGATAGGTGTGTGACCTGGAAAAGGGCGCATTTTACACTCGCAACTCTCCCCATTTCCGAAGTTCGAGTTTTTAAATTTTTTTCCCGCTGGGACGGGGATTGTGTCACGAAAATAGGAAATAGAATTAGACCAAGCTGGATTTTATTATCTTTGCTGTTGTGTAACTAGCTTTTTGGTCGAATTTGCAGAAAATGTATTGTGAACCAAATGAGGCTTTTTCAAAAAAAAAATTCCGAGTTTACAACGTCCTGTTGAATCGCCGCGGACGTTCTGATGTTTTGACGATACGAAAATGTCCTTTATTGACCTATTTCTACGTTTTCAGCTTGAGATTTGCGAAGTTCTTGTCGTGATCCTTGCTGGAGTTTTCATCGAAAAATTTGCGTCGACGCTTTTTTGGGGAGGGAAATTATCCCTTTGTGTTTCTGCTTTCTGGTGAAGGCCTTCGTTTATTGCTTGTAATTTCGCCATTTCATGAACGACTCCATGTCGCGCCTCTTGTGGATTTGTAACGTTTGTGCTTTTTTCTTGGATGTGATGGAGTCTCATTGTCTTATTCATTCTTGTGTAGAGTGAGATTATACAGTACTTCAGTAGTATAAATCTAGATTTGAGGACATGTGCGTTCGTAATCAAGTGAATGAACTGAACGCCGTCCGAATTAACTGTTATAATAAGGAAGGTTTCTCTAATTTGATTAACGCAGTGTTCACACAGACTGACTCTCTCTACAACGATTTTCTCTGATTAGCATTTTATTTTTTTGGTACCTGCGTTTCAACCCGCGTCCGCCTTCCATTCAGAAGAACAGCCTGTAACTCTTCTACCACGCTCTTCAACGCTGGTAATTCTTGCCATGAATGGTATTCTCAGTCGTTCGGGAACCCGTTTTTTTATGCTGGGAAATCATGTGTAGATAGGCGCGAAAATCGTCGGAAAATGTGAGTGATACGATGATATTTTGGCAATTTGAGACGAGGCCAATGCGAAACGGGGTCTTTTGAGAGGCCGCGAAAACGAGACCTAACCTTCACACAGATCTTCCCGTTTATTTATTTTCGTAACCATTATTCTTCAAACTGAAATTTTGAGAAAAGAAATTTACAGAGTTCTGTGCTGGAAAAAAAACCCCCTCGAGCAATTTTGACAGAGGGACGCTCATCAGTAGCGTGTGGAATGGAGAATCACCCGTTTCAACGTAACGCTTTATTGCACTTTGTTCGGTTCCTCTTCAATTTGATAAATTGCGAAATTGTCGAATAAATTATGACATGCTTTTTGGCATCTCGGATTGAAAGAAAAAAAATCCTCCGTCGCTGCGATGTCAAAGCAGCCACGCTCGCGAGCGATTCGCATTCCGCGACGAAACCCGTGGTGCTGCAGCATTATTATTATTATTATTTGTCTGACCCCTGGGCACGGGGTCGTGTCGTTGGGTCAGTTCGCAGAGGAAGTTCATTTCGTAGTCGCAGTGGAAGTCGGCCCATTGGTAGCCCAGCAGCGTCGGGCCGCCGACGACGAACAGGCAGTGCTGGTCTCGTCCCGACGGCTGCGACGGCCCCCAGTTGTGGTAGTGGACCGGCGCCCCCGACGGCACCCACACCCAGGCGCCCTGGTGGCCGTTTTCCGACCCGCCGGTCCAAACGCCTTTGTTGTTGTTGCTGTTCTTTTTGCTCATTCCTGCGGAATATGAAGTACAGTCGAACCTGTTTGAGTTATTGAGCTTCGAGGGGCCAGCAAAAAATATATATATTCTAATTAAGAAAGGAATAATTTTAATTCATGTGTCTCGGCCGAGTTCACAGAGTTGAGGCAATTGAAATACATTTTATTTATTTTTTAAAACTAGAAATCCTGAAGGAATTGCTGACCTTGTCCTGGGCTGATCGCTGTGTTTTTGTTTCTTCGCTTTACTTTTCTTCTTGAAGATCCACTTTACTTTCATTTCCTTTTACTTTTTCTTTCCTCTTTAACTTAAATTGATATCAGAGCGTGGTTGCCCACCAAAATCTCGAGATAAATTGTGTCATAGAGGTTTTAGAGGGAAAGTTCGGAAGGTATTTACTGTACCATAGGTTATTCTCTGGACGGAATTCGGACAGGGACAAAAAAAAAAGAAAATTCGATAAAGGGAGCTTAGAGTTGTGAAGATTTTCTTTTCGAGTCACTGATCTTCATCGATCGGTCAAATTTTGGGTGGCCGACGAGTGCCAAACTTGCCTTTATTTGTGAGCCAGTCACGAATGGCGTCATCTTCGTGCCAGGTTTCAATGGACACCAAGGAAACCCCTGGCCCGAGGCTGTTGCAAAACTCCAGAGCCTTGAACCAGTTGAGTGGGAAGTCGCCGTGGAAATAGCAACCCTCTCCAATGGGTTGGAATCCACGAAGGGGGCAATTATGTGATCCCCTGTCCCTCTTTTCATTCTCATCCTCCTCCTTCTTATTGTTTCTCTTCTCCTCTTGGGAATCCTGGGTCGTTTCGATCGAGTTCTTGCCCGACCCGACGATAGGAAGTCTGATGGGCTTGACTGTGAAAAGCTCTTTGATTCTCGGCAAAGAATTAGTTTCGCGGCGTTTTTGACTGGTGGCCTTGTGGTAGTTGTTTTCGTTGTACCACTGCGCTGCTGATGACGAAGAAGTGTCGGGGACGAGTCGAGCAGCCGTTGCTGTCGAGTCGACGCTGTTTTGCCGCTCGTCGTCGACATCGACATCTTCTTGATTGTCGTTGTCGTCGTTATTGTATGGGTGGTCGTGGTGACGGCGGTCGTCGTTGACTGTGTGGAGAGGGATTCGATGGAGGAATGCTTCGGGACGCCACGTGGACAGTCGCAGAGGCGGTGGTCGGTTCGTGGTTGTGGTGGTGGTCGTCGTTGATGTCGAAATCGACAGCGGTTTGGTTGGACGAGATACGACGTGTGTCCAGCGTTTTCGACTGGGCTCAGTAGACTCGGTTGTTGTCCGTCTAAAAATGTAAAAAGAAACAAAACAATCTCAATTCACGAGATTGAAACCCGTTTTTTATAGTTTTCCCCTGGTTTAAATACGTGTCGCTGGTGGCCGAGAAAATGTGGGAACTTTTTGAAGAATAGTTACAGTTCAACTTGAAGAGCCCAGCCTCTAGAAAAAAAAACATGATTACTGGTGGACCTGGAACATGTGACGTGCACGAACGGTGAGACCCCCACATTCGGACACCTCAACCTGCGGACAATTCGACATAGGGACACTTATTTTCCCATGAAAATTAATGAAAAAGGCCCGACATGAGGACACTGACTCGATATAGGGACATTTTGTGATGAAATTACAAATACAGTTTGGGCTAAATTACAAGAAACAGATATTTTCAACCCTAAAATTGATGTAAGAAAAGTTTTTAGGCATTTCTCTCACCAATTTACCATCCATTTAGCTAATTTAAAAAAATTACCTCCAGCATTGAGGGACTTCCTTCTCTCTTTTTCACTTGAATGTTAGTTTTATAGAGAATGCCAACATTTCTATGTACTGTACAAAGGTATGAGTACTCAATTCCCCCAAATGTCCATATTGTGTTGAAGTACTGTATATTGATTGAATCAGTTTAAATTGGGAGAAATTTTCTATTTTCATGGAATTATGGGGAGTATTTTGTGCATAAAACACCAATTGAAAATTATATAATGTAAGTCCAAGGGAAAATGAGACTCGACTTGGGGGAATTTTAACTTAGAGGCACTCTTGAGTCTTGATGCACCAATTATGTCCACATCTCGGGGTCTCACTGTAAAGACATTCAGTTCTCCTCATGTTGCCAAGTTTTTATAAGAAATGAAGTCAATTTAAAATTGAGCATGCACACTGTATACAATTCGTCATCAGGTCAAATAATTGCATTTTTAAAAATCTTTTGTATTACGCATCATGTCCTGTATTGTGGCTGGGAACCTCAAGCTTTGATGTACAGTACTGTACATAAAAGCCTTAACGCGCTTTTGAGTTTTTAATGTGTTTTTCCCAGAAACACGTGGGAAGTTTTTGGGGGAAATGAGGAAGTGCAGTAATGTAATGTAATACCGAATAATTAAACGTTTTGTTTTTCCAAATTGTAAAGGAACTGCTTGCTGCTGTACATTTTAATCACATGCGTTGATCGGTGCCTGGGGGAATAACATTTCCTGCGTTTTGAATCCCGGGGGATTTCTCTCAAAGCTCTCATTTCGTGCCAATTATTTAAAAATAGGAAGAAGAAGAAGGTCGTCCGGACCCGGGATGGATAATCTCCCTCTACAGTACATCGTAGTGCGCACAATACATTACGTACCTGTTGGTGGCGGCGTTTGTTCCGCCGTTGGCGTTGTTGATTCGGAACTGGGCCTGAGCGGCGGCCAGCAATCCAGCTGGCGGCTTATTTTGCTTCTGCTGCTGGTGCTCATCAACGTCAATCATGTCAAACGGCTGTTTCGGTTCGTATCTGAAGTAGCCCGTGACAGGTTGCAACGACGACTGGCGTGTCGCGGCGCCCATCGGAAACGGGTCACTGCTGGAAATCGCCCCGAAATTGTTCCAAACTTGAGCGAAACACGAAAAAGAAAAAAATTTAGATTCATAGAGGCAAGAAGAAGAAAATAATTTTTTCAGAGGGGCGTCGATATACGAGGGTTGGTTCATAAGTTTTGAGAGTTTATGAAATGTATCGAATTGAGTTTCAGCAAGTCCAAGAAAAAATTGTAATCGCGTAGCCCCATCATTTGGCAACACTTTTCTCACTTGTTCAACATGCTCTCTGCCGATTTGAATGTTTTTTTTTTCATGCGATAAATTTAATGATCAAAATAGTGTCGATAATCGAGTTCCGCTAGTTGATGAAGCTGCTCTTCGACAGCGGAAATGAGGATGTCACTGCCCCCCCCCTCAAAATCATTCCCTTTCGGGTCGTTCCTCAGTTTCGGGAACAGCCGGAAGTCACAAGGGGGCGTAATCAACCGACGGCACTCGATTTTCGGAACTGTGTTGATGGTTCTATTTATCGCATGAAAAAAAATGCACTGAAATCGGCAGAGTATACTGAGCAGCAATGAATTGTTATTGGGGCTATGCTCGTTAACATTTTGGAATTGTTGAATCGTTGTATTTATTTCGAAAAGCTTCTAAACTTATGAACCAGGGCTCGCTTTGTATTTGCTTCAGTTAGACGCTTGACAAGAGCCGTGTTTTCTGGCTTTAAAATTTGGATAAAATCTTATTTCCGAATATGACGCGCATCCCATGTTTAAGCTACTAAAAAGAGCAAATTTCTGATAATAAAATGCATGAAGTAAGTGCTGGAAAAATATAATGATTTTCAGAGGCGCCTTTTTCAGGTCGACTCTCTGCGTAGTCTACAAGAATATAGTCTACTGCAATTTTCTCTGTATAACGATTAACGAATATTTTTTCAGTCCGATGCCCCCATCTTT